GAGTGGTGCTCCAGATATTTTGGGATTGTACCTAAGGCACCTATAACTATTGGTACTACCTTTGCCATAGTAGTTGTACTTCTATTTGCAGGTCTTTATATTTTGTGATTTTCTCCAGTTCTTTCTCTTGCATTCTACTGTCTCCAGATATTGCAAAGTCCACTACCCAGACTTTTTTGTCTTATCAACAATAGTTAAGTCTGGGTTGTTGTTGTTGTAACTATTATAATATACGAAATGAAAAACAAGAAATACTACCATAATATACAAAACAATATATGAAAAAAACCAGGAAAAAGAGAAAGGAAAACTATTATAATACATGGCAACAGCATATATTAAACTTTATTAAATGTGCATGCAATAATATTGGTCAATCTTTCCATTACTTCAAGTAAAGAGCCAATTCAAAGCCCAGGTTTTTAAGTGTGGAGTAGCAGTAACTTTTCAGTGAAGGTACAATCAATGCTGTTCAATATTTTCTGGTCTGCCCCTCAAGAGAAGCTTTTCTTTCTCTACCTCATTCTCAAAATGCTTTAGAACTTTTTTTACATGGCTTTGGACAATGTTTCAGAGGTGGCAGAAGCCGCTGCTATTGTCTTCTCTTCTTTATCTCTGCACACTGCAGCCTTCCTGGCTTTCCATGATTCTGAAAAAGACCTCATGATGTTTTCCAATGGGATTTAATTAAGGTGTGGGAAGCCATGGAAGCTGCAGACTGCTATAGTGAGGAGTGCAATATGGAAGACAGAACAGTGTCTTCACTCACCTCATAAGGAGCAGAAGTGCTAGAACTGTAGGCCCCACCTGTGAGAATGTCAATGACATATTCTTTTTCTTGATGGCTGTAGTGGAATATTTTTCCTATTAAACTGAATGAGAAGCAGGGATTGTGGGGGATAAAATTGGCATAGCACTAGCTTTCACTAAGTTGCATCCTGCATTCCCAACATTGTCACTGAGCTAATTTAATTCTGACTCAACCATGGAGCAGGAAGTCCTGCGAGGATAATACTGCAGCTTGGGTTTCCACTTCCTGGTAGCTTCCTGGTGCCACACTGCATTTCCCAAAGCTTTTTCATTTGAGTGGAAGGATGGCTTTGCAGCTTTCCCTCACAGCACAATCAGTTTAAAAACAAAATGCTAAGAAAATGCTCAACAAATTAAGGATAAGGATAAGGATAAGGATAAGGATAAGGATAAGGATAAGGATAAGGATAAGGATAAGGATAAGGATAAGGATAAGGATAAGGATAAGGATAAGGATAAGGATAAGGATAAGGTGAACTCAGTATTGTTGTAGCTGGCTGGAGGAAACACTATTTGGTTTACGCAGGTATTTTAGCATTTTGGGAATGGCTGTGGTGAGGACAATTTTTGGTAGTTTGGGGAACAAAAATGGTGACTGTGAAAGGGCCTTATTTCTCTCTGTACTTCAGTTTGTCTACTAAACCGTATTATTTCTAAGAACTGGCCTCATGTTCACAGAGAAATTAACTTTGTGACTAGAATATATGTACTATTCTTTTTCTTTCTACCGGAGTGTCCAACTTCTAGAGTTCTGTTGGAAAGAAAGTCAGCCACTTAACTCTTCCGATTGCCTTCATGGGTGGAGATAAAGGAATGTGGGGGAGACACCAAGCAGCTGGAACAGAAGAAGCAACTCTGTCCTTGAATAATGAAGTCACTGGGGAAAATTTCTTTTCTTGCTGGTTGCCTGGACAGCAAGAAGTGACAGCTCTTCTATGCTAATGGAAAGTGAACTGAATAAGTTTAAGTAGCAGAGTGGTGGCTGCAAGTTCAGAGCTCTTGTTGATTTACCAAGTGGCTCATGTCTACGTATATATCACCGAATAAACATTTGCAGTTATCTCTCAGTGAATACACATAAAGTGTAGCAGATCATATATCTTTTCAGCTTTCAGACTTTCAAACATCAATTTTTATGACCTGAAATCACATATTTCTAGCCCCATCATTTTATAAATTTCCAGCATTTATATTTTAACTATTGCATTCTTGTTTTAAAGTCGTTTGAAATGAGTTTTAGGGTTGTTTCTAAGTAGTAGCTACTTTTACTGAGTATTTCGTAATTATTATTTTAAGGCCTGACGTGATTACATAAATATTTGGCTGTATTTGAATAAATTAACATAATTCATTAATGATAGCTATTCTTTTTCTCAGGTGGAAAAATGAATTTTGTCATGGGTGCATATGAAAAAAAGCTTACTAATAGCAAAGTCTCATTTACTATTTAAGTTTAATATTTTTATCATATTGGTGCCTTTGTGTTTATGAATGCAAGGATTTTTTTTACTTTGTTTATAGCTCTATCCTTCTTATAGATACACTCTCTTTCATACATATATATCCTACATAAGGGAACACAAATATCATTAGTGTGTCCACACACAGAGAGACATGCAACCTATTTGCATGTGCAAAGGTAAAATCTATTTTCATTTTGCAAGCACTATTATATCCACTCAATTCAATAAGATCCAGTACACTTTAATGGACACAAGCATGAGGGGGGCTGTAACCTATACCAGAAGTGCAAGTATATAGTTAAGGAACTCATACTTTGTAATGACAAGGCAACCCACTAAGGAAAGGGAAGAATCCATTTTCTCTTGTTCTTGAAGCCAAAACCTCCATCTCTGATGAAACACAGTCTTGATCTAAACCCTTAGAATAGGCCTTTTAGTATGACATGTGGATATGAAGGCAGTGAGCATTTAGAAACCACAAATGCCTTGCTAATTTTCATTAAGATGGATCCCAGTAGAGATTTCATCACCTAAAAACAATTCTTCAAGATTAAAAATTAAATCCTCACCACTATAATGTTGATAGAAGAGGCCTTAAGCATGGCAAGGTTTGACTTTATTTCATTATATTTAATGTGGGACGATGGCTGCTTGATAAGTGTTTCTTGGATCACATCAGTACTTTGAGCTGCATTGTAATTCATGCCTATTCGCCTCTTGAGACCATTGTGCGTTTTCTGGGATTGTAACTTATTTATTTTTATTCCAGCTATGAAGGGGATATTTTGATGGATTGTAACCTCAGCAAATGTCTAACCCCAAACCAGCAATGACAACCTGGAGACTTAAAACAGATCCTCTGCTTTCTTGGCAAGGGACTGGGCCTCAGTCTTTAGAGGGCTTCTGATACTCTAGCTCCCTCTACTGGTACTCCTAAGACATTCTCCAAGGATGGGAACTCATGTCCTTGCGGCTTCAATTTCCATGCTGTCCCTTCTGGCAATAATGGGAGATACAGGCAGTAAAATGGATAGTTCCTTCATGACTGACACGGACCCAGGGCGATGTATGAGGCATCATTATGTTGATTCTATCAGCCATCCTTTATACAAGTGTAGTTCAAAGGTAAGTGTTGCAGGAAATTTGTGAAATTACTACAAGCGCCACCAAACATGTTTTTCTAGAACCAAATATTAGTTTAACATTGATGCATAATTATTTATAAAATTAGGTTGATGCCAGAAATGTTTTGATGTTGTGCAAGATCATCATAAGATTATCCTTCATAACCTGAAGGGATGTAAACTCTAACTGATGCCCACTTCAGTTAGAGAAAGAAGCTGAATTAACATTTCAGTCTACTTCATATAATAGGAGAGAGTCCTCAGGTAGCAGACAAACTGAGCAAGGGCAAAGTAGATTATGTGATGTACAGAGGAAAACAACCAGCTATGAAGTTCAGGAGAAACTATTCCTGTCCTCCTAGCATCTGAGGTGATCACCTTGCTTTAATAATTGGATTAGCCTGGTCTTGGAGTAAAGCTGTCATTTGTGGATGATATTTTCTACCATTGGGAAGCAGCTGGTTCTCTCTCTCTCTCTCTCTCTCAATCTACCTTTGATCTACTACCTCATAAATTAGTTCCACCCCTCACTCCGACAACATATTGCATTCTTCTGAACATTTTGACTCAGCAGTCAGGGATACATTACTTATACTGGTCTAAAACTGTAATAAGCTGACTGAATAGGTACACAGAAAGCAATAATCTGAACTGAACCTTGGTTTCATCATTGCAGAGATGTATTTTAAAATGTCTTGACAAAAATGCTCAGATACATTTAAAAATACATAAGCTGTTTGAAAGTGGTAACATGCTCTCAGATAGCAAATAAAGGATATCTATCTATGGTCTCTCTCAGCGTTAGGAAGAATGCAATGGCAAAACATTTCTGAAACAGGTTGCCAAGAAAACGACATGGACTTCTCTATATAGTTACCAGGAATCATAACTTACTCGAAGGAACCAAATAAATAATTAAATATATATATATTTTAAAAACTATAATTAAACTGAGAATGTATCTTAGGAATTTTGTGAATTATATATCTTTGTAAATCCTGCTCTACAAATTCCTGTGTTCGCTGGAAAATGTGTGTTTTGAAAAGTTGTTTTGTGCTTTGTTGAAGCGGTCGCAAAGGCAAATATTTTAAAATATTTTCAGGTTTAGCTCAGTGATGTTTTCTTGAAAATAATGAAAAATCTTTGATGGTCAGCACTGGGAAAATAAGATGGGTGTAAGTTCGGAACAATACTACTTTTGGGATATATGCCAGTATACTGATATGTATTTTTTAAGCCAGAAATGTTTGTATGCACTTAAAAACAAGGTACAATTATTTAATTGAAAACATCATCATTTATTAAGAAATTGTAGAAAACCAGTGGTTTTTGAGAGACAACAAAAGAGAGAGAGAGAGAGAATGAGAGAGAGAGAGAGAGGCTATTATGATGACTTTGCACACCTCATAATATTTACAGGAACTTCAAAGAAGTACACGTATAGATCAAAACAAAAATGGAACAGGGGGCTGACCCCTTTCTTAATGGATACGTTATGAAGGTGATTCCACCATGACCTTTTTCTTGGAAAGACTTCCATCTCAAGTCTTGGACTGGATGAAGTAAACAACTCATGAGATTTGGTATAATGTACAGTTCTGTATTGCTATTTCTGTGGATGCCAAGTAAAAATGTGCCATTTGTATATATTAAGGGACATGGATCTGTCCACATCCACCAACATCCTCCATTAATGACTGTTTCAGACCTTGTTTTCTTTTGGACCAAATGCTATAAATGTGGTTTACATGTGTTTTGAGTGATTTTTGGTCAACCTCTTATTTTCATTTAGAAACTTGAGACAATTCCCCCCCCCAAAAAAGGGGGGAGGGGTTGCTTGAAATGTTGTGCTTGGAAAAAAATCAGTATGGTTTAATAGCAGCTGCTGAATTTTCAGCTATGCCCTGTTAAATAGAGATGGAAGTATGAAGGCAGCACTGATCACAGTTCTGAAGCCTATTGCTATGACTGTCCATTTTCTCCTTGCCTATGTTGTCTTTGTAATCTTAATTCCAGGTTATGCATGGAGACTATTCCCCCTTATCTACTGATAATGAATTAACTTCCCATTTCCCCAAAGGCAAAGATAAAAACGACATCAAATGACACTAGCAATAGCCGTGTTAGGTTCTTGCAGCAAAATAGACAAGCAAACACCATCAACTATATGATGATATAAACCTATTATAGGAGTCCTGGGAGACCTCCAAACGTTGTCACCAAATTACGGTTTGAAATATGAGAAAAGGAGAAAATGGTTAGATATAAGAATGGATATTAATCAGATCAGTTGAAATCAAGAGAAGGACAAAGGCAAAGGCAAGGGCTGAAATTAAAAGAATGTTCAGGTTCAGCATTAGGAGGAACTTTCTGATGTATTAATGCAGTATATTATGGTAGAGAAACTGCAGTAATGTACTGTAATGTAGTCATGTACTGTATTACTGCAGTGATAGGTTTTCATGTTTTAAAATATAATTTTATTAAAAGTTTTTAAAAAGATGATAAAAACTAATACAAGCTAATATAAAGTAAGAAGAACAGAAAAAGAGAGAATTCAAAAAGAAAGTTAAAAGTGCAAGAAAGGAAAAAAAGTAAAAGAAAAATAGAAAAGAAAGAAAAAAGATACAAAGAAGTGGCTTCCAATGTTCTTTACAGCAATTATAAGTACAATTATAAATGTACCTCTTACTCTAATGTTACAACATGACTCTCTTCTTTCTATAATCTATCCTGTCTAATCATCAAAACCGTAAATCATAAGTTTATTTTTTTCTTTTTTATACAAAAAGTCCATAAGGGGTTTTCGGTCAGCAATAAACGTAGATATTGTCAGACAAGTCAATTTGGCCATCTCAGCAAGTTCCATCATCTTCACCAACCATTCCTCCCTTGTGGCTAATACCAAATCTTTCCATCTTTGTGCATACAAAAATCTTGCTGCAGTTATCACTGCGAAATAAAGTTCCACGACTTTTTTCCAACTGTCCATCAATCCCAAAAGAAAGACTGAAATGTATATTAATCTTTAAAATCCTCTGAATCAGTGTGAATCCAAATTTTTCTAACCTTTTTACATGTCCACCAAGCATGATAAAATGTCCCTTTTTGTTGTTTACATTTCCAACATAAATAAGGGTCATTATACGTTCTAGACAATTTCTCTGGTGACACATACCAACAGTACATCATTTTATACAAATTATCTTTAAGATTATAACATAGTGCAAATCTGAATCCTTTCAACCACATATTTTCCCATTGTTCCATCTGTATATTATAACCAAAATAATTAGCCCACTTTATCATACATTCTTTCACTTGTTCTTCTTCTGTTTCAAATTTCAATAAAATGTATACATTTTAGCAATTACATGTTCATCATTGGTACACAGTTCTGTTTCAAACTCAGTCTTACAATGTTTGAAACCATAATCTATTTTGTCTACTTTAAATCTTTCTATTAACTGTAAATAAAAAAAAACATTGGCCACAATATCCCTCTGCCACCAGTTGTTCTGTTGATTTTATTTTGTATTCCCCTTGACAAAATTCTGGTATCTCACGATAGGTTAGCCATTTGTGTTTGCCTGTTATTTCTCTAGCATCTATAAAATGCTTCTTGTGCTGAGAGCCCCTAAGGTGTTTTCAGGCACAGTCTGGGTTTGTATTTATTCCATATTCTCAATATGGCACGTCTAACATAATGATTTTTAAAATCCACATTAACCTTGACTTTATTGTACCACAAATATCCATGCCAGCCACATCTCCGGTCATGTCCTTCTGACTTCAAGAGCCTTCTATTTCTCAGCAGTACCTGCTCTTTCATCCAAACCCAATAGCAAGCTGTAAAATACAATTTCAAATCAGGTAGAACCAATCCTCCTCTTTCCTTTGCATCTTGTA